TTATCTCTACATTGAAGCTTTTGTTATCTCCCAATAGTTCCTTCAGAATCATCCTTCCTTCACCATTATACACCTTCATTAGATTTTCTTCCAACTCCATATTATACCCTTTGGCAAGTAATTCACCTATGCTTATAAAATTACTTGTCATTGAAGGTACATACAACACGTTAGTAATATTGGCCCTCTTACCATCATTTCTCACCACATCTATGTTTCCTTTCTCAGTTGACGTGACATGCCTTCCATCTGCGAACCTAATCACTTTTTTGACTGATTCATCTAACTTAGTGAACCAATTTTTATTAACAGTCATGTGGTTACTGTATCCTGAATCCATATACCACATATTGGTTTATTCATTATTCGGCTATATATTGGCCATTTGCTTTCTCTATCATGTGTATATTTCACTTCTTCGTTATCTTTTGCTCTTGATTCCTTATTTCTCTGATAATATCAAGCATATTAACCAAATCCTTGACAGATGTAACACCGCACCTCCTTCATGTCAACTTTCTTTGTCAAATACTTGTTGCCTATGCCTTTTTTGGTTGAATCAGACGGATTCTTTGAATTCTTGCTTGACTTCTCATCATTATCAATATTATTTCTCTACTTTGCCTTTTCTTTGCTATACTTTTTGATGAACTTTACTTTCAATGCATGTTCAATCACTTTCTCCCTTTTTGAGTTCCTCTACTTCAGCCTCCTCTCATGAGCCTCTAATGAAACTTGAAGTTCTTTTAAATTCATTTTAGATTGGTTCTTAGACTCTTCAATAGACACTACAATGTAATCAAAATTTTCCGTTAGATATTTCAACACCTTCTCAATCTTCTGAAATCATTGGTCGATTCACCACACGCATTCATCTAGTTCGTGAGTAACACTGATCTTGAAAAGAAATCAGAAACAAATTCATCTTCTTTCATCTGTGTTATCTCAAACTACTTTTGTTACTGTTTTCCATTACAGATTCTCTCTAAATCACAACGGGGTTCGTAATTTGTTGGAACAATTAGGATTTTAAAGAAGAATGAAGAAGAAGGGGAAATAAGAAAGAAAATATATTGTGAAAAAGGGTTTATAAAATTTCTATATTTTTATATAGATTTACAATGTTACATGTATATATAGGCAACAAAATATACATTTTACAATCTACAATATTCGATTATGTCGAATACTTGCTTACATATTTCGACACACATGTTGTATTCAACTCCATTAAACACAATTATATTGAATACGACTTTTCTACTAAAAAAATGAATTATATCTTCTAACACATATCTCATATAATCTTTTTAGATAGAGGATTATCTTAGATCCTGATAATATCATGTGTGTTTTGTGGCGATAGAATGAAGTTGATTAATCATTTCTTTGTATTTGTAGTTTTTTCTCTTATACCTGGTATAATATTTTTAGATGAATGAATTAAAAGTTAGTGTTTTTCTAGATATGTTTTCTTTTTGCAATTTTTAGTCTCTAGGAGACATGGCTGGGATTATGCTAGGTTTGACTTCAGTTTGACATTCGGTTGTGTCATTTATTTATAAATATCGTAATAATAACATTACTTTTTGATAAGATGGTTGATTAGTGTATTTTAATACACCACATTTTATTTTGTGCTAAGGGATTTTTATGACTTGTGTTTTTATTGTACTGTTTTTAATGTGTTTCCAAATCTTAGTTTATTTATGCTTTTATTTTAATTTTATTTATTTATTATATGAATAAGCAATAATTTGACATCTTCTCGATGTGCAGGTCATAACATGAGCTACAATATTTCGTTTGACGTGTTCTAATATAATTTAAAAAGCTGAGAGGATAAGTTATAAGTTTTATGTTGAAGCCAGAAATCAATTTGGGATGCAGAAGAGTCAAAATATTGGGTTTTCATGCCAGACTTTATAAATTATTTAGTTTTGGGCCGGTTTTTATGTTTTTCAGGTCGGTTGTTATTAGGACCTGATTTCTCTTTTATTATTTAAACAAATTTATCAGCCTTAGGGCATTCATTTAGAATTTTCATGAAATAAGAAAATACGGCTACAATTCCTATGGAGAGCTAATCACTCAGGGTTGATTTATTGTTCGTGTTTCCACTGAAACTTTGAGGTTTTTATTATAAAGCAATTTCAATTCCTTTTCAATCTTGTTTTGTATATCTTGCATACTTAATTTAAGTTCTATAGAATGTGTTGTTTTATTTTGATTGATTTATGTTCCTTAACTATAATCACGTTTAGCATAACTTTTTCATTAATTCACGTAATCTTAAACTATTTGCTTAATTCAGAAAATAGGGGCATAAATTGTATAGTATCTATTGTGTTTGTTTGATGGATGTTGTAATCGAAAAGGGAATAGAATTTGCTTAAGGTTTTAGAATTATAATAATCGATGATAAGTTGGAAATCAAAATAATAGATTAGCTTATTAATCTTATTTATGTTGTGAATCGGATACCTTTAAACAAAGTATAAACGGTTTCTTAGCAAGAAACACACAAGGGTTAGGGTTAACAAAGAAAACAAGGTAAAACAACAAGGAACAACAAGGATTGGTTATTAAACTGTTATTCTTTCCTTTCTCTTAGAACAAGATTACAAGTATACAAGAATAACAAAATAACCTCTCTCCCTTGAAATTAAGATTTTATCTTCCTATTTTTCCTTATTGCCAAGATTGAGAAACTAGCATCCTATTTATAATAAAATAGCACACTAACCTAATGGGATTTTTAACAATTACCCATTACAAGCCAAATTAGGGTACAAGCTAACTTAAATAATTGGGATTACAAGCAAGGCCCAATTCAACATGCTAACAACCCTAGCAATATTGACTAATGCATGTTAGAACAAACTTCGACTACAACACGCATTACTTGCGAACAGACTTCGACAACACTAGAGTTCGATACAATATCTCACAATTTATAATCAAATTCTTTTGATCATAATCTTAATCGAAAATCTAAACCCCCTTTATTTCAATCATTTGGTTGAAATGGTCAAGATTCTTTGCAATACGACTTGAGTGTCGCTTCCTTATACTACCCTTTAGTAACTCATTTTTCACTCGTGTGCGATAGTGATCAATGGTGAATGGCAAACAACGTGTGGATGAACATGATTAGGAATTATTCTGAAAATAGTTTTTTGGTATAAAGGATTGGAATTTGAAGGGTGTCTTCACTAGGTTGGAACAACACATTGGAATATGATCAACCACATAAGTGAGTTGAACACCACATCATAACTCAAAATCTTAAAGTATTATATTGCTCTTTTCCCCATAATAGATCGTTTGATCAAATTAGGTAAACATATCATTGTGTTTATAGTCTTTACTTTATCTTTTTCTACTAAGTCAAATATTGATAGTTTATTGCTTAGAGAGTTATTATTGCTGAAGATCAATTATTTTGGTTGCATTTGTTTTTCATCCATACACATCAAATTTTTTAGTGTATTAAATCTCTAAATAATTCTTTCCAAGTATTTTTAATTGTTCTATCAATTTTACGATAGCTTTTTCACTTATAAGGTGTTTAACATGTACTATTCATCCAATGTAAGACTTCAACTCACACTTGACTAACCATAACCTCTTTTCCTCAAGTGAGATTTAGAGGAGTCTTCACTAGGTTGGAACAACACATTGAGCTAAAAGAAATCATATAATAATTTGGACATCACATATTTGCTAAAAATCTTAAAACATTAGGTTTGTGGATCTTCTAACTTATAAGATGCTACCACTTATTCTTTCGTTCAATGTGGAACTTTAACTCACATTTAACATATCACGAGCAAATGACTCCAATCAATACAAAAAAGTAAGCAATGTTCTTTCATTTGAAGTGTTATGTCATCCATTTGAAAAGAGATTAACTATCATTTAAGGGTTTTCATGGGTGCGGATTGATGTGCAATTTTTTTGACTCAAACTGAACCAAACCGCTAATTACTTGAATCCGTTCATTTATGGGTGTATCCGACCAAACCTGCGACAATCCACGTATCTTTAGTTCGAGTGTTGGATTTGAGTTTTTAAACTTGAGAAAAATTTTAATTTTTCTATTAAAAAATTATAATTGTGAAAATTTTCAATGTTTTCTTTTGAAAAAATTGCAATCGTAGTTAGAAGGATTTATAAATTGTATCCAAGGTTAATTAAATCTTATGTTAATTAATAGTTGTAACAAAGAAATGTTTAAGTTAAGAGATAAAGCAACTAACTATTATTTTTTAAGTAAATACATTTATTAATGTAACTACAATGGATACCTTAACAACATATAAACAAAATTGAGCACAAGTAATTATTTTGTTGCTATATAAGTTAGGCTAGATTAAATAAATGTACAAGTAATTTTTTAAAATAAAATATCTATTTTAAAAAATATATTTTTTCATGAATTTTTTTTAATAAAAAGTTAGATCCAAAATAATCTAAATCAACATGTGTGACTCATTTTTTTTTCTGATGTAGACTAAAGCTGGATCATATCCGAACACACTCTTATCTTGATGGTAAATTAATTTTTATTATTTTTACTGTTTAATTCAATGTGACATTTTTAGTGACATTTTCTTAAATAAACATAATTCCGTCGACATTTTCCGCGTGTACTATTATGAATACAAAGTAAATCTTTCAAAAATGAAAGAGGCCACAAGTCACATTATTAAATAGTCAGTTATTTTTTATTTTGATTTCCGTAAGTTTTTTTTTTACTTATGAATTTTTTTTGATTATATTCTTAAATAAACCAACATCACTTTCATACTAGAACAGAATCCAGTAGGACCCACATAAATTTCCAGCTATATCCAGTACTACTTCACACTCTTTCACAAACATACACACTCCAACTCCTCTCTACATAAACCCCTCAAAACAACACACAACCAAAAACCCATCACTCAAACTTTCTCTCTTCTCTTCTCTTCTCTTCTCTTCTCTTCTCTTCGCACATGTCCATCACAAACGAATCCCAACCTCAAGCTTCAGCTTCTCCCACTTCAACAACAAAACCCACCTCCAAGCACCGTGATTCAACATTCCATGGCGTCCGGAAGCGAACCTGGGGACGCTATGTTTCAGAAATAAGGCTACCTGGTCAGAAAACTCGGATATGGCTTGGCTCATTCCAGACTGCTGAAATGGCGGCGCGTGCTTATGACTCCGCGGCTTTCTTCTTAAAAGGCAGCTCGGCTAGCCTTAATTTCCCCGAAGAGGCTGCGTTTTTACCTCGTCCTGGTTCTTCTTCTAGGAAAGATATTCAATCGGCGGCGGCTAAAGCGGCTCATCAACGAAGCCGCCACCATCAACAACAATCTTCTTCTACTTCTATCGAAACCAAAAATGAAAACGAAAATAAAAATATTATTATTATTAATAATGAAAACAACAATAATAATAATAATATTAATAATAGTAGTAATACTAATAATGGCATTGATGATTTTTCTATTGAGATGATGGAGTTGTGGAATCAAGAAGAATGTGCTTCGACGACGTCGTTTTGGGATATGAAAGATGCTCCACTAATGAGTCCAACAAGGGTGGGGTCCATTTACGGAGATATGATGACATGGAACGAAGTGTTTGATTTCAATGATGACATTCTTCTAGCCATGGCTCATCCATAATAACCTCTTTCATATTTGTAGTTTCTTTCTTTCTTTTTCTTGTTTTTATCTTGCAATTAGTTTGTAAACAAAATGTATACTTAAAATGAACACATAAATGTTGTTGTTTATTTATATTTATGTACCTATTGTTCTTAGTTGCAATAGTAGAATAGTGTTTTAGAAACATTTTAATTTTATTTATTGTTAAAATAATATTTCAACTTTTTAATAAGAATATGTAAAACTTTTAAAATTAATATGAATTGACTTCGTCTTTTTAGACCTCGCACCAGAGAAATTGTAGATGGTCATGTCTTTTAATACAAGTTCTGATTTTGATCTCTCAAACTTTTTAACTTTATGTTAAAGTACTGGAATCAATACGAAAAGGAAGAAACTATAAAATTATACTATTGAGTTTTACCAGATGTGATCAACGCATCAAGTGTATACATAGCTTATATTACAAATCACAAAACAAGCTTAACAAATTGTAAATAACTATTTATCAAAAAAAAGGTTTGCTCAAATACATTACATAAATCTTTTGCTTTCAATAAGTTTTCGCCTTCAAAGTATATTGAAGAGATAATTAGAAAGCTTTTTAAGGAAATTAAATATTAAGACACTATCATAATCAAAATATGAATTAAAATTATCAATAAATTCTTAATCAAATTCATCACCACGCCAAGAATGAGTTAGGTTTGGGGGTTTTGGTTTAAAGTCCTAATCTTAGGATTAGGGACTTTCCTCCCCTTGAGGTTGATTCAAACTTGTCATTATTCACTACTCTTATTAGTTGTACTTTATTAAGGTTTGAAGTAAGGGAGTCGGGTTGAACAAGTGATTGAGTTTAGAAACACTTTTTTAGTGATTAAGAACATGGAGTGGAATGTGGTTGGCAAGAGGAGAAAATCTAATGGCGATGGGTAGCTAAGATTCTCAGTATGGAAAGATAATAGAGGCAAAGATGTAGGACATGATGAAAGAGTATCCTCGTTCTTCTTTACGGAGTTTCCGGAATCTATGGATGCAAAAGGAATGTTCGAGGTGTTTAAGTTATACGGTTTGGTATCAAAAGTATTTATCGCAACAAGGTTAGATAAGAAGGGGAGGAGGTATGATTTTGTACGATTTCGAAAGGTGAATGACGAGAGGATTTTGGCAGTAAAGCTGGATAACATTCAGATTCAGGGGAGGAAGCTACATACAAATGTACCTAGATTCCAAAGGACTACATCGGTCAAGAAGGATCAGGGAGGCCATAAGGGAGGATTTGGTGTTGCTGCTACTACGATGATTTGAGATAAACAAGCAAAGAATGTCAACTACCAATCGAAGAATAGAAGTAAAACTTTGCCGATTGGTAAATCCTACGCTCAGGTGGTCAGCAAAAAACCGTCATTGCTGGAGAACAAGCAGAAGCATGTTAAAAAAATGGAGGAGAACATAACAAAAACTATGTTTGCGCACATTCAATTCAACGTTGAAAAGTGTGAAATGCTAAGGTTTGATAAAGCATATGTGGGGGAGGTATTAACATCAGGAAATACATATAACGTCTATCAAGCATTGAATGAGGAAGTTTTTTCAACGTGAAAGCCATTCCTCTAGGAGCTAACTTGTGTTTACTCGAGGAAAGTAAGGAAGGTGATATACTCTCAATCATAGAGAAAGCTCGAGGATGAATTGAGAAATGGTTCTGTGATATTAGACCATGGAGCCCTAGTGATATCGATAATAAGAGAGTTACATGGTTGAAATGTTATGACCTACCCTGCTACGTGGGATATTAGACTATTCAAATTGATTTCAGGCATGGTTGGAACATTCATTCGATGTGATGATGATACTGAAAAGAATAAGCATTTTGATGTGGCACGTTTCCTAGTCAAAATAAAATTTGCAATTAATTTGAATGAGGTTATGAATGTAGAGATCAATGATAGCATATTCAGAATTAAGATTGTGGAAGATCATCATGGTCCACTTAGAATTGTCAAGCCGGAGGTAGTAGATGCTTCCTTAGAATCTGATGATTCAAATACATCAAGCTCTGATGGGGACGGTGGTGCGTGGGATACCACTGAGGACGGTGATGAAGACATGATGGAAAAATAAAGACCTACAACAGCAGACCTAGGAAAGCAGATTGGAGGAAAATCTGTTGAGTATAAAGATAAATCAGAGAAGGATACTCAAATATGTGACAGCTTAAGGGATGTGAATGCTAGCAGTGAGATTATGTCAGTAAAGGGGGTGTTTTTTTGATGAAATTACAAATTACGAGGAGAAGGTGAAAAGTGGTATGGAGCAGAGTGAAGGTGAGAAAATACTTAGAAGGGGGGGGGGGGGGGGTTGAATAAGTATTTATAAAAACTTCTAGCAATAAAAACACAAAGATTTTTATCCTGGTTCGTTAAACTTAACTACTCCAGTCCACCCTATCAAGAGTGATTTGCCTTTCTCAAACAAGGACTTAATCCACTATTAATCAACTGATTACAATAGCAATCACTAAGAGCAACTGTTCTTAGTATTCTCAAGAACTACTGATCCCAACTGGATCTTCTCAAGGAACTATTACAATGAAATGTAAGATAAATACAAGTGTTTGAATGCTTCTAACAAGCTTTATCACAAGAGTGATTTTTCACTTAATGTTAAGAACAAAAGAATAAACTCAGCAAAGAGAATAAGAATATTTTATGAGAGCTTGTAAGAGTTTCTATCAAAGATTCGTCCTTTTGAAGAAGATGAGGAAGACTTGCTTTTATATACACAGTAGTCCACAAAGTCTTGACGTTGGAGGCTGTGTACTGAAAAGGCCTGAACCTTTTTGTCTTCACATCACATGACCTTTCCTGGAAGTAGAATGCACAGAGAAATGCTTTTGGTCTGTGTTCTAGTGTCAAGCATGAAAGAGGAAAGAGTCGTTGAACCAAATCAACGGATATGACTTTGAATTCTTCTTCAACAAGTATTTCACTTCAGCAAAGTAAACATCAGAGTCTGCGTGATCAGAGTCTTGGATGCCCATCAGAATTTGCTGAATCAGAGTAATGCAGCAAGTGTGCTTCAGCGTGTAGTTCTATCAGAGCAGAGTTTTATGAATCAGATCCTCAGTACATGCAGCGTGTAGTACTCTCAGAGTCTTATGAAAAACTGTGCTTCTTAACTCTCATACAAAGATCTTCAATGCTTCAGAGTCTTCAGATCTTTCAGTGTCTTCTGCAGCTTCTGCTTCAGATTCTTCTGTAGCTTCTGCTTCAGAATCTTCTGTAGCTTCTGCTTCAGATCCTTTTGCAGGCAGCATTCAGATTCTTCTATAAGATGATTCTGACTCTTCAGAGCCTTCCATAGTTCCATGTTCAGATTAATTTGCTCTTAGATATATATACTTTAACATCTGCAGCAAATATTCATGAACAAATTTTAGAGTATATAATTCTTTAATACAAAATTTCATAAGAGTTATCATCAAAACATAGAGATATTACTAAGAAACAATCTGTGTTCTTACAATCTCCCCCTTTTTGATGATTACAAAACATGAGAAATTTTGTTCAATAAAAAAAACAATAATTATAACTCCCCCTGAGATTAAGAATCTCCCCCTGAAATGAATACTCTAAAGGAAAGGAATACTTCCCTTTTTGCTTGAGTGTATTTCAGAATCAGAGTCTGATGACTTCTTTCAAACACAGAGTCTGGTTTTTCGTTTAGAATCAGAGCACAATTTGCTTGAAGAATCAGAGTCTGGTTGGGTAATTCTCAGGATAACTTCAATGAATTTATTTCGTCAGATGAAACAATAGAATCTGAAAGACTTAAATTCAAAGATAGTTAATAATATGTCTGAATTTCGTTTTAGTATTTGCTTATGGATTGAACAATCAGATTCTTTTTCTCCCCCTTTTTGTCATAATCAAAAAGATGTGTAAAGATAGAAAAGATAATAGAAGAAAAGCAAAACAAACATTTTCATTCATTCAGATGGTTCACATAACAGATGATAAAAAACAAGCAAAAGAAAACATATGCAAACAACAGTGCAAAAAAAAACATGAAAAGAAACTAAGGTTGGCGAGATGCAATCAGGGTCAGAAGATCTGTGATCTTTGCAGTAGACTCTTCTTGCTTGGCCATCCAAGTCTTAATCTCTTCAGTGGTTTGTTCTTGTTTGATCATCCAGGACTTGATTTCCTTAACCTCTTTCACAAGTTCTGGATTGTCAGTCTTCACTTCAGATTCAGACACATCAATGTCCATATCAGATGCAACATCTTCAGATGGAGAGTCTTCAGCAGGAGCAGCTTCCAGAAGCAACACTAGTGGTTTGGGAATGCTCATCAGAGTCTGTCTGACCAATTCAGCAAACTTTGCCTTAGCATCTTCAGCACAGACTGCCTTGAGATGAGAAGCCACAACGTTGAACTTAGAGATAAATTTATCCCAAGCAGCTTCAAACTTAACAGGATCTATATTGAACAGACACTCTTCTTCCACACGTGCAATCCCCATACGAACTTCCTTTTTGAAATTCTCAAACAGTTTATCAACATCTGATCTAGGAATGGGGTAAAGGTATTCCTCAAGAGTCACTTTTTCAGCAGATTCAGCGTTTGGCTGAGGTTGTTCACAAGTGGTATCAGGAGGTGTTGGATCAGATGGTGGTTGTTCAGATGGTTGAGGTGCAGATGGTTGAGATTCAGATGGTTGAAGTTCAGATGGTTGTAGTATGGTGAGTTGAGGTGTAGGGGTTGTTGAAATTTCAGCTTCAGATGACGAAGGTTGAAAATCTGAGAGGTTGAATTTGGAGCGAAGTGAAAGTCTACGATTGATTTGGTCAGATGCTGATAGGTCAGAAAATGTAGGTTTGAATGGATCAGGAATGTGTAAACAGGAGGGTGAGTGAACTTCTGATTCAGAATCAGATGATTCAGTGGAGTGACATGAGGTGGATGACAAGACAACCATGGTTGCAAGTGGTTCCAAATCAAGAATGTCATTGGATGAGTGAAAGATAGAGGGTTATGGAACAGGTAACGATTGTTCTGTTATTGAGGGTTGTTCAGCACTGACATAATCTGGAGAATTTGATGATGTTCTGTGAAAGATGGAACTCATGAAAATCTTGGCCCAGATCCTGTAGACTAGCTTTAGTTCCCTTACTTTGCTAGTTGGTTCCCTAGAAATACTAACTTCTTGAAACACATCAGCAAGATCCACATGAGCAGATTGTAGGCTGGTTTCACCATCAGTTTCAGAGTACCCAATAAGTTGTCTGATCAGCTTCTCAGTAATCACAATCTCCTTTCCAAGGACAGAAGAATGGATGAATTTAGAGCACACCTGAGCATGTATCCAGAATTCTTTCACCAAAGTTGGATAAACAGGACCCATAAGCCTGTCAAAATACTTTGTCCAACTCTGAGTTTGAATGGTTGAAGAAAGATTAAACCCATTTTCTTCAATGGAGTCAAAATCTACAAAGCATTCACTTAGAACTTCCAGATCTACAGTTGGAGTGAGAAGGGTTCTCACAGGTTCCTTGTACGCTTCAGCATTAGGAGAAGAAACAACAGTGGTTGATTGCATCTGAGAAGATGTTGATGAAGAAGATGCCATTGTTGTTCTTGAGTGAGAGGTTTTGGGTTTAGGGTTTAGATGAAGAGCAAAGAGAAGACAGAAATGCATAAAAGGTTCGTGAGGTGAAAAGTGTGAAATGGTGTGATTTATGGTATTTATAGACAAAATCAGGCACACAGACAGTCACATAAGCACGATTCACATAGCATTAAATGAAAAAGTAAAAACATCATTGCACAACATTTATGATTCTGACAGATGGGGGGAAAATCAAGAAAAATCAGATTTTCAAAGCAGTACTTCAAACGTTAATTCAGTAAAGTGCACTCTACCTTTCCAGTTTCTGAGCAACACGTGTTTGCTTGCATGTGCTTCTGAAATCTCTTGAGAAATGAAACTTTAGCCAACGTTCAGATCCTCTGAGCATTCTTAGTTCATATTTACACAAATACAATAATTCAAGAAATTGAATAAATTGACAGATGAAATACTTCAGAGCATTAAACATTTTGCATCTGAGAAGTTTGCCTCTGATAAATATTATTCTGGACAAAAAGCCATACCAATATTTTTCAGAATAAACTTGAACCTATCTTCAGCAAGGGGTTTTGTAAAAATATCAGCTCATTGATGATCTGAATCAATAAAGGCTAAGTTTATAATACCCTTCTGAACATAGTCTCTGATGAAATGATGCTTAATTTCTATATGTT